ACTCGATTCTGAAAAGAAACCCTGACATTCCATTACTTTTCGTGTTTTTGGTAAAATGTTTAAAATATGTCAAATGAACAGATCGACTTGTTGCATTTGTTTTCATTTAAGGCGAGTTTAGTGCATTATCTGGATTTAATTGCTAAATCGAGCTGAATTTATCTCGATTTACCATACAAAATTGAATCAACTCAATATTTCGATTTGTTCTAAATCCTATGCTAAATCCAGATAATTTCACATACAACCCTACTTTTGTCCCAAAAAATAATAGTTTCTCCTTAAAGTATGCTTTAAAATTGGTAATTTAACTGCCTGACAAAATTATGTTAACTGTTGAAATTGTATTTTTGGCCTAAAAGAGAACAATTTCTAACAAAATTATTATAATATTGATTCAAACATTGCCGCTGACATCATGGAACCAGTGAAATGTGTAAATGAAATGTACGTAAACGAATAACAGCCGACATATCTTTTCATTTCATTACAATACTAGTCTAAACAGTTATGATTTGATATCCCGATTTACAAATCGAGTGGATTTAGAAGGCGTAGTCTAAACGCGTCTTTATTCTAACATTATTGCCCAGAAGGAAGAGGAGTTTTTTCTCCTTTCTGACAAAAGCTTCCCTACCTTGTATAATTATACCATGCTTGTTTTAAACTTCTTCAACAACATATATTTCATTTCATTGCACAATTGTGCATTGAATATACATTTTTGCAAAATTATACATTTTCCTTGGGTTGCTGCTTTAATCATAACAACAGTGCGTTATTGTTTTTTTTTTTTTTTTTTGGTTTACCTTTTACATGCTTTTTATTTCTGACGTTTTTGTTTTTCTAATTGTGACTGTCCCTATAACTCCTTGTACATTAGAACGTTTTTACCGGGTTAACCTACTTTATGAGTATTTATTTGACATATAAGCAAAGGAAATGACAATTGAAACCCACTGGGTTAACGAAATCTGGTTAAATGTAAACGTACTATTAGTTTCTTCTTATTTACAATAGCTGAAAGTGTATTTCGAATTACGAAATCCACTCGATATCAAATCTAAATACGTCAAATATAATCCACTGAATTTGTGAATATTATTAACGTCACGTATACACTAGGGAATTGACATTTGAAATCGAGTGGATTTAGTACTCTAAACACGCTCTTAACATTATTTTGTCTGCGCCACAAATCGACATCCAGTAATAGTACGTTTACATTTAACCGGATTTCGTTAACCCAGTGGGTTTCAATTGTCAATTCCTTTGTATACATGTCCAATAAATCCTCATGAATACATGAATATATGTCATGTATACATGTCCAATAAATCGAATGTATATGCCGTTTAAATTAGATAAGGTACAAAGAGCTGCCTCGATTGTAGTTACAGGAGCCAGGAGGAGTACGCCACAAGCAGCTCTGAACGCAATGCTTAACTTTAAGCATCTGTGCCTAAGCATTAAGTGTCAGGCTGTACGTAGCGCCCTAAGGCTGCATGAACAAAACTTCTGGCTATGTTGCCATGGTCGTACCTTGAACGAGCCAGGTATGCCACTGGACCAACGCGTAAAGCTAAGCGACTATATGGCACCAGTCCTGAGATTTGACGATGTAGATGTTTTTATTCCTAGAAGAGGCGATTGGAACCGAAGTAACCCTCCTCTGGACGGTCTGGCCTTCTATACAGACGGATAGAAGATGGAAGAAGGTACAAGGGCAGGCGTCTACTGTGAAAGGCTAGGCCTTGAGTTAACCTACAAGTTGGATTGCAACTCTAGTATTTTCCAAGCTGAAATCTTCGCAATTTGGAAGGCTGCGGAATTGATAAAAAGTCTGAATGCAGAGGTCGTTGAATCGGTGATTATCTTCGTGGATAGCCAAGCGGCTCTTAAAGCCATCAAATCTTGTTATATCAAATCTGAAGCCGGCCTCAAGTGCAGAGCGGCTATATTGGCTATCGGCTGTGTTGGGTACAAGGTCATCGTGATATCTTGGGTAATGAAAGAACAGACTAATTAGCTAGACGAGGATCTCAAAATTTTATTCAGTAAGATTTGGCAAACTCAGCCATTTTGAGATCAGCTGTTTTATGACCAAACACAAAAATTATGCAAAAGATTTTATTAAATTTGCAAAGTTCAATTTGAAAAAATTACAGAAAATGGAAGAAAATTCGTAAGTAATGCAAAATTTCATTAAATTAGAAACTAATTCCTTATATATTTTTAGGCACGTTCCAGATAGAGGGCAATGTATTGATGCAGGAAGCTTAAATGTTCCCGGGGAACATACCAAATCCATTTTTCTTTTATTGTTCATTTTATTTTTAATATTAAATGCAATACAAATAATTGTATTTATCCTTTGTTTGTTTGTCCCAATTTAGATTAGGCGAGTTTACTTGCGGCAAGTTATTGACTGTAGGAGAGAGGGGCAAGGGAAATAGAAATGGAAAAAAATTGCTCGTACCAACAATTTTCTGGCAATTCGTTTTGTGTATTTCGTATTTCTTGACATTTTAAACTATTGACATCAAATGAAAAAGGGAATATTTTTGAAACCGAATTGCCTTGTATAGACGCATGAAGCAACTTCAAAAGGCAACGATAATAATTGCCGCAAGTAAACTCGCCTAATATAAATCGGGACTTTGTTTATTTTGGCGCAAATCAAATGCCTCCTTTTTTCCGAAAAAAAAATTTTTCGGTAAACTCTAGTAAGTTTGTTGTTGTTGTTGAACTGTCAAACTTGCACTCTCACTTGACTCTCTTTTACTGGATTTTTGGGTAAACAGACAAAATTTAGTAACATTTGGTATCAATTGTTACCAAAACAAAAATTGCTATCTATTATCGAGTAAACAGACAGAGCTATTATTACCTCCTGTCGTTCACAGCTGATAATATGTCACCATTATTCATCGCCCTCATTCGTAAACACAACGAAGTGTAAGCCATTTTGTTTTGAGTTTATGTTTTATCGGCCATTCGCTTATATGTCCACCATTCGTATGAAAATTGTTTATTGTTTGTTTTGGAACGGCACATTTTATTTCGGGTTTTCGCGATTTGTTTAATTATTATTATAAGAAATGAGTAATATATACATACAGGAACCCCCAACATCGGGAAAGGTATTTAATTTAAGTTAAATATATTTTTTTTAATCCCGCCCTTCGATTGCCTGATATGTTTTCGAATAGCCTTCCATCCGGCGTTGGTTCTAATCCAATTCCATTTAAAATTTTAATTCATATTTTGACTTTCAAACATTCGTATAGGTGTTGCTGCGTACTACCGTTGGTGATATCGATATTGAACTATGGTCGCGAGAATGTCCCAAGGCATGTCGGAATTTCATTCAACTGTGTATGGAAGGTTACTACAACAACACGATCTTTCATCGTGTCGTAAAAGATTTCATAGTACAGGGTGGAGATCCATGTGGTGATGGTACAGGTGGCGAATCAATTTATGGTCATCCCTTCAAAGATGAATTCCATTCACGACTACGCTATACCAGAAGAGGTCTTGTCGGTATGGCCAATTCGGATAAGGACGATAATGGATCACAGTTTTTCTTTACAATGGGACCGACACCAGAGTTACAAAACAAAAATACTCTATTTGGAAAAGTTACTGGGGACACAGTTTTCAATATGTTAAAGTTGGAGGAAGGTGAAGTGGACCACAATGAAAGACCTATGTATCCCCATAAAATATTGAAGGCAGAGATTCTAAAGAATCCATTTGATGATATTGTACCAAGGGAACTGAAAAAGGAAGTCAAGAAGGACAAGAAAAAGAAGAAAGAAAAGGGTGTCAAGTAAGATTTTGAAATTGCTTATGGGAATAACTCCGATGGAATTTATCTAATGGGCTTTTTTATGATTTTTAGAAATTTTGGCTTATTATCATTTGGCGAAGAAGCCGAAGAAGATGAAGTTGAAACCACAGAATTTGTACAAAAAAATGCTGGAAAGGCAAAATCCTTGCACGATGTCGTAGATGATCCGAAGTTAAGCAAAGAACCAGTTAAAGTAAAATTGGAAGACGACAGCAATTCAGAATCAGAGGGGGAATGGAAAGTACCCATAAAGGAGGAGCCGTTAGACGATGAGGAATTGTATGACCGAAAACAGCGCATTAAAGACAAACTGAAATCAAAAACTCTAGAAAAATCTAAAAAAAGTAAAGAGCCCATCAAAGTAGAAGAAATTTCCGATTCAGATGATGACGAATTGCTAACGCATGAAGATGAGAAGAGACTTCAAAAGGAGAAGAAAAAGTAAGTTTCCTTTTTTCATTTCCATTGAAATATTTTTACGATCTTCACTTTTAGGGAAGAAATTCGCCAAGAAATCCAATCGCTGAAAAAACAGTACCAAAGCGAAAAGAGACAAAAAGACGAAGAACTGGAAAAGAAAATGCAAAAGGATTCCAAAGAAATGGCCAAGAAAATGGAACATGACAATAACGAACTGATCAAAAGTTTCATTGAAGAAAAGGAAAAATATGAAAGTCTTAAAGCGAAAATACCCAAAAAAGGCGCCAGTCGAGAAGATTTCACATTAAGTTTACTATCCAAGTTCCGTTCCAAATTGGATGCTTTGAAACAAAAACGTGAAGATCCTGAACAAGAAGATATTGAGGTGGAGAGTGATAAAGTCGATGACAATGTGGTGGAGAAAGAAATTCAAGGCGATGATTGGCTGTGTCATACATTGAAGTTCAAGGAAGAGGTCCCTGTCTTGGCTAAGGATGCCTCTACCAAAGGTGATGATTGGTACGATGTATATGATCCCCGTAATCCCTTGAACAAACGGAAACGTAAGGAGGCCAATGCTCGTTCAGATAGTCAAAATAAAAAACGCCATTAAAAATTAAAATATTTTTTGTTTTATTTTCTGTTATGGATTTTCAGTACAAAAGTGTATAGTAAAAAATGGATTGTTTTGAAGAAAAAGAAAAAAATGCCATAAAAATTATTATTCACAGTTACTGCTGTTTCTTCCACGATAACATTTTAATTATTTTTCTCAAAATACTTAGTTTTTTCTTTGGGATTTGGCACAATCTAAAACGAAACAGAAAAGAATTGCATATTGAATACTATTCTAAGGAATGTAATTGAAAATACTTACAGTATCTGCACCAGGTTTCCAACCAGCTGGGCAAACCTCACCATGTGTATCGGTGTATTGGAAAGCTTGTACCAATCGTAAAGTTTCATCTACGGAACGGCCGACAGGTAAATCATTCATGGTGATTTGACGTAGAATGCCACGATGATCAATGATGAAAAGACCACGCAATGTGTGACCCAAATCGTCCAAGTAGACACCATAGTCTCGGCTAATTTTGTGAGTTAAATCGGAAAGTAGTGGAATTTTAACACTACCCAATCCGCCTTCTTTACGTGGTGTATTGATCCAAGCTAAATGTGTGAAATGCGAATCCACGCTGCAGGCAATTACTTCAGTATTTATTTTACGGAATTCTTCAATGCGATCAGAGAAAGCAATGATTTCGGTGGGACATACAAATGTGCTGGAAAATATCGAAGAAATAAATAAGTAAATCGGAAGTTATTTTATATTCGAAAATAGTATAGGAATAATTATACCCTTCACCACACTGTGGTACAGAGGGAAGGGTATAATTAGGAAACGAGATAGACATATGGTTCCTTTTGAGAATATGCATAGAATCATGTATTTTTGTGAACAAAGTACAGGTCGCATTTATGATCCGATTTGGATGAAATTTGGCATAGGTCACTTATTTGGCCCAAGGAACGAAATCGGTTCAGATTTAGATATAGCTCCCATATATATTTTCGTCCGATTTAAGGTAAATGGTGCACCAAAGTCCCTATATATCTTTCGATTTGCACGAAATTTGGCACAGCGTAATGAATTAGGTATAGAATGTTGTGTGTTAAGTTTCCTGAAAATCGGTTCAGATACAGATATAGCTCCCATATATATTTTCGTCCGATTTAAAGTAAATGGAGCACCAAAGTGCTCGATTTGCACGAAATTTGGCACAGCGTAATCAATTAGGTATAGAATGTTGTGTGTTAAGTTTAAAGTTTAAGTCTAGAGTGATGTGTGTTAAGTTTCTTTATTTAGATATAGCTTCTTATCTGGCCAAATGAAAAATTTAGTATCGGCTGCAGAATGACATGTCTATGGATCCAATTTCATTTTACTGGTCCTTTTCCACTTACTAAGCGGATATACTTAAAATCAGTCAATAATATATTGGAGTTTAAATGAAATATAATTTTTAGAAAGATGGTGTTTATAAACTATTAGATGTTATTAAAAATAGGTCTAAAACCATCATGTTCTCAAAAAATATGCATATCAATATGATCATAAAAGTTATACTCACAAATCCAATGGATAGAATAGTAATACAACATATTTCCCGGCATATTGAGACAGCGAAAGCTTGACAATCTCTTTGTTGACAACTGCGGTTCCCTCAAATTGGGGAGCTGGCTTGGAAACTGGAAAATAAAAACATTTAATAATAAATATATTTGCTGTTTTTCAATGTTGTAGTCTCATTCAACTTACTGACTGCTTTGGTAGTTTGTAAAGTATGATCACCTTTGGGACTCTCTGCTGGATAAACAGAACCACCGGCAAAGGAATGACACGAACCGTCCTCCTCAGTAGACAGGGCATAAGTTGTGCACAATAAGCCCGCCACAAGTAAAACAAAAATTGACAATGAACTTGTCATGATAAACTATAAAAAAAGGAAATGTAGTAAAAATGAAAATGTTTTTTTTTAAGACGCCCACAAGTTAATATGGGAAATAATAATAAACTTGCCACGCGTACACTTTCAAATTCTAATCACTGTTCTACCAATATTCGATAAGACCAAGAGAACGCAACCCTTTTTGACGTGTCTATTGAAACAAGTGTAGGTTCCTAGACAATGTGCGTGTGTGTATGTGCGTATATTGTATTTTAATATTATTATATTTTTTATAATAGTGCGCTTCATATCTATTGTTATCAATTAATTTATTTGAGATTTCGTGCTGTTGTTGTTCCACATATTATATGAGTGTTTTAATAGGCAACGGGAAATAAACAAGGCCTAATCTGTGTAAATCTTTCGGTATTGGTTATTAAAAAAATTAATAATAGGTTACAATTACAATTTTTCAGATACCACTCACATTATTGAAGTTATTCCTCTTCACCAAAACGAAAACAATCCAACCTCAGCCGGCTAATTATAAATAAATGCCACTACACACTATTCACAATTGCTAAAATTAGTAGTAGAAAGAATGTTGCCATATCTATCAACAATTTTAACGGACAAATGCCTATTATTGAACAAGTATTACAAACCGCATTGCATACAGTGAATTTAATTTTGTATGGTAATAGCGCATTTACATACACAATTGGTATGTTCCCGTACTGCAAGAATCTACTACATTTTACTATTTTCTTCGATACAAATACAGCAAGAATTTTTTTCTTTGATATCATAAATGAGCATTATTTATCGTAGTAAAAAATTGTACTTTGAAATCATTTCACACACTCACACATGGTATAATAATAGAAGGTAACAGCAAGTGTTGTTGTACAAAAAACGATACAACAACCACATGGAAATTTGTTGTTGTAAGTTCTACTAGTGTCAACTCATTTGACAGAAAAATGTAAATAAACAAACAAATTATCATCAAATTATTTTTATTTTGAAAATGAAATATTTTCGAATCCTCAAAATAAAAATTGAAAAACATGAATGAAAATCTATCAAATTTATATTTCTATCTATTCCACATCTTTCCTATAATTGAGCCATTGTCATATATATGTGTAACACATATGAACATGCTGGGAATAGCGAGTTATTCCTTGAAGAAAGATTTGCTTCCTCAAACTTTCCCAGCAGGCAGATTGAGTAAATTGAATACAGGAGCACATTTAATAAAGAACAATTTTAAATTGTATGCGTTCCCAATTTTCCTGTTGGGTGATTTTTAAAAACATAATTTGTCAAATTCATATTGACACTAGTATAACGTCGGAATCAAATCAGCTGGGATTTGCTGTTACCTTTTATAATTGTACCATGACACTCACACTTGTTGTTGTAGTTAAGAAATGTAGCTACTTCCACTGGCTGCAACTACAGATCTTCAGGAGTAAGACGAGTAGATTGAGGATCTTGAGGGCTTCGACTCCTGTCTCGTCCAGCTACTTCAGCATATACATGGATATTCCGTCAAGGACAAACGTTTTGGATGACTTCGGGTTATGGATGACACATGCAACATCACCCATCGTAAACTGGTACTTCCTTGGCTGGAAGATAAATCTCTCTTCGCCCTGTCGCTCTCCGGATGCTCGAAAACTGTTGTTTAAAAGAAATCGAGCATTTCTTCGGATCAGTCACAGTTTCGTCGTTAAATGTGATTGAGGTCCTATCATCCTTCTTACCAGTGTTCGAGAGCAACTAAACCGTTGGCCACAGTTTACTTACACCGGTACCGATGTTGCAACTCTTCAGGTGCTCGAACCATTTATTCCTCTTATGCTCCGCGACTAATCTGCTGACCTCCAAGGTATGTTCTCATTTGCTAGACCAACTCCTTCTGCTGGCAAATTAGGTCTCATTTCGGGTATTCGACCAGCAGGTATAAATCTAACGGCTGCAGCTGTAATGATGCCTCGGAATTTCCTTTCTGCTACCCGTAAGTCAGAAGGAATAGAAAGTTCTCTGAAGTGCTGGTTGGTGAACTCTCTGAATCCTTGACAGTTGGCTTTCCTTTGGTTAAGGAATATGTGGCGTTCAGAGATGATGAAATGGGGCGGTCTGCTAATAGAGACCGTTATGTTCTGAGCCAAGAAAAATGACGGGCTGCCAGTTGACGTCATTTATCAGACTTGGCGAACTGTGACACTCTCCCCTTTTTCTGGTGGGGACATCCTCATTTACCGTGCAAAGCATCGAGCTATCTATTTGCTTTGCCAGTATTGTTTCCCCCTAATCATTACGTAGGACGGAATGCCACAACTCATGGTGGGCATTGAAATCCCTTAGCACCAGAAAATTATTGCCCTCCAATAGAAAACTAATGTTGGGCAAATAACGCGGTTCGCAGCTATTTATCGGCGGTATGTACACGTTAAGCTCCTCTTCCTCGACAGTACCACATTTAACTACTAACCCCATACATTCCATGTATTGATCACTAGAGTCAAGCTCAAGCGAGATATGCCTGTATTGAACAGAGTGGTGCATAAGCAATGCTAGGCCCCATCTCCACTTCTGGTGCGATCTTTCTTCAGAATGTTATAACCATCCCAACGCTGTAGGCTACAATTTTCATTGAACTTGGTTTCCTGCACCGCCGCGATCAAGGTATTCTTCCGACTCATGAAGTCCACTGTCTCGTCTATTTTTCCTCGAAGACCTTTGCAATTAAATTACAGATATGTTGCACCCAAAACAGAAAAATAATACAAACATATATAATGGAGTGGCAGACGCTGGCCGAGATGAATCGGGTCAATCCGGTATCGTAGAGCCCGCTGCCATGGTATTGAAGTAAGTAAAAGTATCAGACGGTGTTACCGACAGATATATTCCATCAGTCTATGGTTGCTGTGGTCTTCGGAATTACACACATGTTTTATTATTCGCATCAAACTGGTTTCAGATTTAATATTGATCCAATCGGTTATTCAATTTGCTTCAATTCAATAAAATTTACAAGCTTATAAAATACTGACCCATAAGGCTGAGGGTTTTTACATCAGCTGATGATACTGGAAAATCTTTACTGGGTAATTTTTCCCAGTAAGAATTTGCAAATTTTCAGTAACGCAACTGTCAAATTTTCTCTCTCAATTCTCTCTCTTTTACTGGACTTTTGCGTAAACGAACAGCATCAAGTAACAATTTGTACAAATTATTTAGTAATCGAACATACCTTATATTATGGTTGTATGTTGAAAAATATCCATAAAAACAATTTGTTGCATATTTTGAAACAATAAAAACAATTTGTTGCATATTTTGATTTTATATCAGACAAAACAAGTCACTACATATAGAGTTGTTTTTTTATCGCCCCTCAATATATTTTACATCGTATTATTGCGCAATTGTACAAATGTTTGTAACGTATTCAATTGATTACAAAGATGGAAGGCTCTGACACGGATCTTTTCCTTGTTTTACTTAACTAGAAAATTTGATCTTAATATGCGTTTTTTCCAATTGGAAATTTGATATCGATTAGTCCATACACTAAATCGATTACTAATTTGCAATCTAGTATTTCTGGCAACGCCGGATTTCCATATGTAGGTGACACTTTAACGTCAAACAAAAAAGTTGAACAACGACGAAATTTCTCTTGATTTTTCTGTTTGCAAAAAAGACAAAATATTTTCAAGTCGAAACAAACGTAAATAACAATAAAGAAAAACGGCATAATTAATAATTTCCATTGGCGCCATGTGTAAACAAAAAGAATTTCAGAAAATGTATCGAAAAATTAAGTAATTACTGCTACCGAGAAGAGTGAGAGAATAGTGGAAAGACAACAGTGGAAAAAAGTTGACAGTATTTGACTCTATTGTTAGAATTCCAGAAGAAACGACATAACAAAAAAAACGAAACAAAAAGACAAAAAGAAAAGTTTGTTTTGTGAATTTTCGTGTGAAAACAAAATATTATTTGGCTGATAAACAATTGACCAAGATACCAATAGTGCACTTGAGTCCGCACGCCCCCACTCTGCCGCCGCAAGGACAACAAAAGTGAGAGTAGCACGCAGCAGCGTTTAGGTAAAAAGCTAAAAAAATCAAATCAAAAGCCAGTAATACTGCATGCACATTTATTATTTTTCTTATACTTCTAAAACTGAAAAAAAAAACAAATATGTAAAACTTGTTGTTGTCAATTGATTATGTATTAGAAGAGCAACTAAGCAAGCAATCGAACGACGAGTGAGTGAACGAGCGAAAGGAAGTGCAGCCGTAAACAATTGGAGCAATTGCTTTGCTTGCTTTTTAGCATTGGTCAAAATGCATCCGCGTATTGCAGTCAATGGATGGATGATGTTGTTTGGGAGTTTCTGATTTTGGAGGGGACGGAGTGTAACCACGATCGAGTCGTACGAAAATTTACGTGTTTGTTTTATTTTTTTCTGAGGCACTTTGTTGTCGGTCGTTGTTGATGTTGTTGTTGGCGTCGTGGAGAATAGAATATTTTTTTCTTTTAAATATATTTTCTTTGTTGTTGGCCTTGCCCAGTGAGATGTTGTCATGTTGTTACTTGTCGTTTGTGTGTCGTTGCTTATAGTGTTTTCAACAAATACCGTTCGTTTGTTGCCGTCTTTTTGTCCGTCCGTCCGTCCATCCATCGTATCAATGGTGCAATGAAAATACAAAAAATAAATACCTATATAGATTGAATACTTTGAGTGTTCTTGTATTCATTATCATTTTTTAATTAGTGATAAATTTGCAAGGGTTTTCCTTTGAGGACGCAAATATTTTGTTTATGTGCATGTGTGTGCGTGTGTCATAGATAATAACATCTTGGATAAACTGGTCAAGAATGACTGGATCTTGTGAAATATACTATGATGAGATATTGCGAAATAGTTTTTTTAAGTGTGAATCGCTGTCCAAAATGGCTAGTAAACAAATATAAGATTATGGAACAAGTCAAATTAGTCCTAAGGGGTTTGA